GCAGTAAATAAAAGCAAGCTATATGTGTCGTACCATGAATTATATACGGCCAAAATAGTTCAAAAACAAAAACATAAAGAAACGTTCTATTACTGATAATACCCAAAATATCCCATCTGGCCAGTGCTCCGGGCAGTTAAATTGCCGTCTCCATGATATTGAGCCACAAAGATGAGCGGCAAAATGAAAATGACGCCGTAAAGACAGCTCGCAGCTTGTAATTAGAACAGTAGTTAATAGAGTCATCGTTGGTGAGCTTCCAGCCATCGCAGAGCGGATGAACGACTTCAAAGTAACGTTGAACAGCTACAACTACCAATGAATAACGTTGAAACAGCGCCAACACCCAGATAAAGTTTCCATGGACGTAATGGACATCTTCAACGCTATTTTGACGGAAACAAATTTCAATGGCTATTTATTTAACTCTGGTGGTTTTGTTGACTCCTTTCTGACAGTATACTTTCAATTCTGTTTTCTAAAAAGTCTTCATTTCTATATGATGTGGTGTCTACATCATCTTCTTCTGTGTATCGGGCGCACTTGGTGCAAAAATACTCATATTTTACACCGTGGTTTACAGGACCAAATTATGTTCTTTAAGCTCTTACTAAATTGACTGCTGTGTAAGCTGTACGCCATAGGATTGATGCACGAGTTAAAAGTGATAAGCAGAATTTCCAGTTGATCCGCTGGAGAATCTGGGGTCACTTGTGAACTGAATCAAATCAGAAGAAATATGACGGTGATTGGAATGCATGTTATGATGCAGATCATGCTAATGATTAGTGTCATACAGGTTACTTGTCTCCTGGCGAAGAAAAAAAAGATACCAAAGGCATCAGATAAATTTAAATCTTGTACAAGCAGACCACCAAACAAAAACAGTCATAACAGGAAAAACAAACAAACAAAGGAAACAAAACAAGCGAAAAACAACAAACCAAGTGGGTTTATAGCCTGAGATAGAGAGCGGATGTATAAATAGTCAAGTCAGATGGCTCACTATAACTATGGACGGTTTGCATCTACTGAAGGCAGCGGCATACAGAAATTTCACCTTACCAAAAACTAACCTCTCTCGAGTCAGAGATAATTTCGAACGAGCGAAATGCCATTGAGGCCAACCAGAATGTTGTTCAGGTTTATCGGAACACCCATTTGGTATTAAGGCTATCCGAAGGGTCCCTTACTTTTGGTATCTTACTTTCTTTTCCGTTTTGTGGGAATTTCCGACTTCCAATGTGTAGGTAGCTTTCCCGGTTTCTTGTGGACTTTGCAGTCGAATCAGTCGTTGTCATAAGTGAAAGCAGTGTCAAGGAAATGGTCGGGATTTTCTTTGTCAATGAAAACAATGTTAGGATGGTAATTGTTAAGTCGTTCAAGCAGATCATCGGGCTTATCTTTTCTTGCGGTGACAGCTACATAGGTGAGACCATGAGAAATGTGCAGGTGCGATTTGATGAACACACTAACAGTTGTAGCGACTCTGAGCCAGGCCGCCATCTACGTGTGAATCCTTCGCATTCCTTTAGCTGGCGCATACTTTGCAAGGCTCAATCCACTACAAAGCCGCGTAGAATCCTCGAAGGCCTAATGATCCAACAGTGGAAACCATCTTTAAACAGACAGGTTCATTGCTACATCGCGAAACTGTTCCCATCGGGAATTACGTAACTGATTTTAGCTGACGGTCTTTACTTACCTTGAAGATGACCTAGTGTCGAAAACGCTCGGTGTTTTCTACTTTTTAACTTTAATAGCCTTGAAAATAGAAATATTTTTAAAACCAAAGCGAATATTATAGACCTCCAAACTAAAAACAATTCATATACAGCAAGCTTGAATAACACAAAACAAATACTTCCTCAAACTGAGCTACATCAAGCACTGACCTCATAAAAGCTAGCCTGCGAGCAGGCGTTCATGCGTCAGGGCAGGAGCAAAGTCGATGAGCAAAGTCGCGAACTTGAGTCAGCGAGCAAAGCGAGCAGCTGGTGTAGAGCCTCTCGCTTCGTTCGCCGACACCAACGGTGAGAGCCTGCTCGCAGGCTACATAAAAGCTTTAGCCAAAACCGCCGAATACTGCGAACCTTTCACTGAGCTCTTATAAAGCTGAAACGTTACTGCGTACTTGTGGGCGCTTATCTGCACAGACAAACCCTATGTGATTATAACCAATTAGCGGACTCGATTTGGATATTTGGATTAACATATTAAGCCCAGGAAGACCGTATATCCTATGGCAATAAAAGGAAAGTCAAAGGCTCTTCATAAATAGCTGCCAATTACAAAATGTTTTGTAAATATTAAAATTAGCCTTATCATGAGCCCGTCATAAAAAAAAAAAAATTATAATTCAAAATAATTTTAACACTCAAACGAAGTTAGTGAGGCTAATTTAAATGCACACGGCAAAAGAATTTTAAATTGAAAGCCATTTTATATGAAAAGGGTCTGCATAGACCTGTGACCAAGCACTCAGATTTCTTATTTAATAATTTGTCCTTCTTCGCCAGTGGAGCAGAGTAACTCAATATATTACGAAAGTTATTGACTCCGAAATCTTCTGCACGGAACGTGTTGTTTAAAGGTTAACGTCACTGGGTAACTCTATTTGCTACCAAAATCGATCTTTTGTCGATTTAATGATTTCTGTAAGGTAAGATTTTAAACCCGAAGTTAAACGAAAAAGACAATATGTAACCGCAAGGACAAAAAAACTATTTTTACATCACTAAGCTCATAAATCATTCTTTGATTTAGACAGCGAAAATCAATATTAAACGTTCCATTTTTTACTTATTAATAGAAATACGAGAGAAATGTCCTGTAATCATAAATAACATGCTAGATGACGTCAGAACTCTGTTATTCTTGAACGAACATGTCCATAGTTAAGGAGGGAACTAGTAAATTCCAAACGTATGTGCAACCTCGGGCCAAGCATTCGCATTAGCTAGAGCCAAATTGTGATATGGCATTTTTCAGCAAGAAGAATAGTTCATGTCGTGTGATTTTGTTAACATAATCTTAGAAAACCAAAACAACAACAATTTATTAAGGAATTTCCATAACAATACATGAAATTATCTATTTAAACTAAAGAAAATATAATAACATCCAAAATAGAATTCAAACAAATGTTATTCAGTTTGCAATGGAAAATGTCATGTGTAAGGGACATTGCTCGGAAATAAAAGCAGCAGTTGATTGACATAAAGTAGGATCCATGTCGCTAAAGAACAAAACTTCGGGTCGAGCAACATTATGGTAGATTTTTCTCTGTTCTAGTAAAGTTTTGATTTGTTGGAAAACATCATTGCTTCACCAGGGCTGTCACTTAACTATGAGGTAGCGGGAAAGGTGCTCGGTCACAGTCTGAACAAAGATTAACAATAAGTTCCAAAGTCTAAGGCACCGCGATATTTCTTTAATGTATATTCACATTGCAAAGAATTACTAATATGACCTTCGAGGAAGTCCGCTGAATGGAATGTCCTGCAACAGAGGGCTCGCCTTATGTGCTGGCGAAACTTGGTACTGTGCAGAGCATAAATAAATGGGTTCATGGCTGAATTCACGCCTACACCAGAGGTAACATAAGGAAGTGAGCCATATTCATAAAGATTCGGCCAACACGGTGTAATTTTCTTATAATACTAAAAGAAAAATTGTCGGATTTCTTCCAACCAAAACAATCGATATAAATAGCTTTTTGTTTAGATTAAGGTCTAAAAGAGAATAAATTAATCTGCATATTGTCTTTGGACGTTTTTGGCATTTTTTTTTCTGCCGTACTTATTTTTTTTTCTGTCTTTCCCAGCCTTTCAATCCACTATTTACAGATGCATTGCTGAAGTTTCAAACGAGAACACAGCCACGTGCGATTTGGATAACACTTCTTGATATGAAGAGAAATAATAGGAAATCAATTTTTGAAGGAAATACAGAGAGTTAAAGTTCTACTAAAACAATCACGTCAGTCGCTCTTGATTTGGCCTTGGGCCTCATCTGCCGTAACCTCGTAGAAATGATGAGCGAATGCCCGTGGACAATCTCGATGTCATAAGGTTATGCTTAGTGAAGACAGCATTCCACTGAGAACGTTGGCTCAACTACAGTGAATTCGCTGATGACTTTTAATGAACGCACCACCGATAAACTTATAGGAGTTCTTTTCTAATCAAAAGTTCCCTTTTATCAGTGCTTTTTACAGGTAAAGTACAACCAGCACCGTAGCGGTAGATAAAGCTAGAGACCGAAAAAATTCCATCCAAGCTGGCTACCCAAGTTGCAATGATAGTATACTGCATAATTATAGATTACTAGCACAACAATTGAGATGTCAATAAATTTATCTATCATACATTGTAGTCACCATCTGTATTCTCATTGGCTAAAAGCCCACAGTTAATTCTGGGAAACAGCGCAACCTACAGATTATTCACTAATCTGCTAGCAGATTAGTGAATAATCTGTAGGTTGCGCACGCAATGCATGATTTCCAAGATTAATGTTTAAAGGACAGTAAAGTAAAAACATGGCTTGTCGAAAATAAACTGCGTTCGATGCGATAATGCGTTTGTCGTTATTTTCTTTAACACAATGTACAATAAAACAATTTTCAGATTCGGTTTTTGTGACATCCGAAATAATCAAGGTCTCGGTTAGTGTAATCAGCCTCAGCCTTCGGCTTCGGCTAATAACACTTAGCTCGACCTTGATTATTCCGGATATCACAAAAACCTCCTCCAATAATTGTTTAGAAACCAGTCCATACTCAACTACAGAGTTAGCCTGACGACTCGACTCTCTTTGGTTCTAATAAATAATAATAATAATAATAATAATAATAATAATAGCATAATTTTATTTACCGCATGCTTCTAAACATCCAGCAGCGCTGTACAATTTCCTAATAAAACCATATCCAAATAATTAACATAATAATAAGTAAATAAATAAAATAGTATTCAACGCACGAGTTCACACTCATTTTTGTATGAAAACGACCAATATAGAAAAGAATTTAACATCCCTACTAAGTCACAATTAAGGCAGAATAATTAAGTTTATATGGTTCCTTTGATCCCTTTTACACTGATTATTATTTTTGGCCGTTACTTCCCCTTCATAGCACTGTTGTAACTTCATTGTCTTTTTAAATTTAGCAGTATTTTAATTGAGTTTATTGTTGAGATTTTGTCCCCCAGATTTCTATGGAATTCGAAGATAATCCGCTGGCCGATAGTCTCTGCAACACAGGGCTACTTTAATGTGCTGGCGAAAGTTGGTACTATGAAGAGCGTAAATGAAAGGGTTCATGGCTGAATTCACTCCTACAAGCACAACAGAGGTGACATAAGGTACTGAGCCATATTCATAGAGATCTGGTCTATACTCTGACAACATGTATAACACCAGATTTGGTAACCGACACACTGCGTACACAATACTCACGACTGCTGCCATTTTGGTCACTTTCCGCCTTGCTTTGATTCTTATCTGTTCAGATATCAGCGTGGCGCGAACACCACTTTTCCAAAGCTTACAGAGCAACCTTAAGTATAAAAATGCAATGGTTCCCATGGGAATTGCACCAAAGGCAAAAAAGCAGGCAACTGTGTAAACTTTGCCTAATTTGTGCTCTTCCCTGAGAGTGCTATTTGACCAACGTTCGACGCAATGAGTAACTCCATCTTCATGTCGGACGACAAAAAACAAGGGCAGGTTGAAAAATATGGCATAAAGCCAACTTGCCATTATAACAGCAACTAATCGTCGATTAGTAAGTCGCAGGCTGTTGTTGAGGGGATAAACGACCGCAGTATAACGCTCAAAGGCTACTACTACCAAAGAGAACGTGGACGCAGCCATGCCGACCCAAACGAAGTTTCCACCAGTGATAAACATGCACATGTAGTCTCCTGTGACACCTGATGGATGCTGAAATGCCCAATTAACGATGTAATCAGGAATGATAAAAAGTGCCACCATCATGTCCGACACTGCCAAATTGACCAGCAGGTAATTGATTGGTGCTCGCATGCCTCGGAATCGGAACACAACCAGGCATACCAAGCCGTTGCCAAGGAGATTTAGCAACACTACCACAGAGAAGGCAACTGTGAGTGCTTTATCTGCCAACGTCAGAGAGGAGGTCATTGTCTCCCTTTTCAGAGCTATGGGTGTTGAAAAAAATTGGCATCAGAAACCACATGGAACCACTTAGAACCACATATAAATAGCAAAAATCGACTTTACTTTTACTTCGGGAATAAAACAAAACAAAACAAAACAAACAAAAACAACAAGAAAAACAATAAACGATCTCATAAGGAATAGCAAGGGATTTCATAAGGGATATAGGGTACTTCCCTACATTGCTTATACAGGGACTGGTATGTTTGTCCTCGCTGCCCTAAACAGGAGCTGCTTCAAAACAAGAAACATAATTCTTGCTTTCGGAAACGGTATTTTGTTGCACACAACAAGGCAGCCCAGATCGCGATAAAAATGACGCTTAGGGCCTGGAATAGACCAGGAGTCGACGTAAACAGATTTGGAATGTGTAACGCTGAGATGGCGTGACTAGTTAAACGGAAGAACCGTGAAAAACGGTCGCAAGGCCATGACGAAATTATCGTAGCTAGTGCTGGGGCTCAATCTGATTGTGACAATTATAACTTAAGGTTGTAAAGAGTTCCTCTCTGTTTCTTAACCGAATTGCTGATGATATTCCTTTTTTCTAAGCTTGCAAGTGTTGACTTTGTCTTCGTGACATATTCTACATAAACACGATTCCAGGAAATGTCAGGGATGACGATGAGGCTAAAAATTTATATCAATACCGATCAATAGCAGTTAATTGTAGAGATATGTAGGAAATATAAGATGTCGCATTGGCTATGAGAATACCAAGCAACTGGAGTGCGAACTAACTGTCCCTATCTTCAGTCGAAGATATGACAAACTGCAGGACGGACTAACTTCTCGGAATCCCTTCGTTTACATTCAACATTAGATATTATCAGTGTGATTACATTTACCTTGATTCGAAGCTCCGTTTCCTGAGAATGCGCCTCTTCTTCCTTTCTTCAATTTCACCAGAAAAGCGACATACTCGACATACTCTTACCTAAGCTGACATGACTAAGTGCCATGAAGAAAAATCAAACTGAAACTTTTAATATTTTTAATATTTTATAGTCTATTATGTTGAAACAATGTTCATCACGTGTTAAAGCGTGGCGCATCCGGTCACGCAATTAATGACTGCTTTCTTTGTTCAGCTCCAGGACAGATTTTCGTTACCAGTGGAGTCAAACTTAATGAGGTGGTTCATAATGCTTTGTAGCATTTTTTCAGCGCATCTACCCTGATGGATCAATGCTAACTCTCGATTTTAGTTGATAATCATTGGTGAACAATTTGAAGTTTTTTGCGTGACGCAAAGTGTTACCATAGCGGCAAAATAACTCGTTAAAAATAACACACGTAATTAATTGAAGCTTCTGGACTTATTACTCAAATATGAGCGTACGTGATGACATCCTTTTCTTTGTGGCGAATTGCTAAAAATAATAATAAAAAAAGAGAATAAAGACAGAAAATAAAGAAAAAAATTAGCCCGCGTAGCAAATTGGAGGTGCGCGCGACCAGAATGCGTACGGGAACGCTTGCTATGCAGGTAAAGAAAAAAAAATTGAAGGAAAGCAGAACAAAACACAACAAAATGAAAACGACCACAGCAACAGCCCCAGGCAAAACAAAACAGCACTTGTGGCTAGGCGGCAGTTTGTCATGCAATAAACGAAAACAACAACCATGGAAATATTCTTCTTAAGTTCTTCCTCTCTCAATTGCCCAATCAGCATTTTTCAAAACTGAATAAACGTTTAATTAGTCAAACTTTTTCTAACAGGCTGCTGCAGTCTTCGTAAAAAAAAAAAAAACTAGTTTAATTTCGTTTTCACTCATGATTATATCGGCATATCCATTTCCGCCACTCTCTTCTTGTTCGCTTCCCTAGCACCTGCCGGCAGGACTGACTTCACCTATGAGACTGGAAAAATTTTCTTAATTATTTATACTTTTAACAGAGCTCTATCAGACTGGGAATGTAGCATTGGTGAACATCAGTTTCAAGTTGCTATTGTCCTAATAAAACATCACACTCTTTTATCTTTCTACAAGAATATTGTTTTTCCCGCCCAGGCTGAATATTCTTATTTTTTTTTTTAATCGATTTTAGGCTGAAAATGTTCTTGAGAAAATTTTTAGATTATGACGTATAATATTCCGTTTTATTGACTTTGATGGCGTTGAAGTAATTTTGGAGCAAGACTGTCGGCAACAAAGTCTGGCAGGACTCACATAACTTTTTGCACAAATGTTACTAGTATCTCTATACATCTAGTGCTGTTTTTGTTGTGTTTTACACGGTTTAGCTTACATGTACAACATAGAATTGTATTGTGTTTACAAATTCTCAACACACAAAATTATATACTTTTCAAAATGTCAGCCTTGGGTTTATTCTTAAAATATTCTTAAAATATTCTTAAAATTTTGCAAATTTCAGCCTGGTCATTCTTATAAAGCATATTCTTATAGGAAGAAAAGAGTGAAATGACACAGGCCGCTTTGCCTGTCCATTCCTCCATTTACCAACACAAATTAATTCGTGTTTAATATGCAAAAGTTATGTAATGTACATGGCATACAGCCGGGGGCTTTAAAACTTGCATTAGGGAGCTTAAGAAACCACGACGGCGACGCCGAAGACAACGTCGATTAAAAAAATGATTTTATATTTTACCTACGAATCTCGCAGTACCCTAAAGTCATTTAGTTTGTTTATCACTGTCAAAGCTATCACGAAACTGAATCAAGGGCACATCGATTAATTCGAAATGAAAATTTTAAAAATTAGCCGCCGTTGATCACGTTCTCCAGACCGCAGAATTTGGTCGCTTCACGTTGCTGTTTTGCAGAGGACGGCAAAGAAATGTACCAAGAATTATAACGCACGTGCACGCCATTGTTCTGCTCATAAAACCTTTTGTTTAGCTACGTTGCTGTTGCCGTTGCCTTCGTGGTTTTCTTAAGCTCCCTATTAGTGTAAACAAAGAAAGCACGCGCTGGAGGTATAGCAGCCGCGCATAATGAGGTGCCATCAGGAGCCGCTCCTGGTGTCATTTGTTTTTTGAACTAATACTATGAGCAATAATTTGCTTGATGTCCTGACGTATCTGCCATAACTATGCTAACAAGGTCCACGGCAACTAAAGATGTCACAAATTAGAGACATGGACTTCAGGGACATGTATGGGTTATTGAGTTTTTTTGACACCCTGTATTAAAATGGCCATTCACGGGAACGTAATTTTCTTATAACAGATAAGCACGATGCAACTTTATTTTAATCTGTGCGATCTGGAAAAAAAATCTGTTTATATTTCATTAAAAACCGGTGCGTTCAGTTTACTGTTTGTGAGCGCAAAAACATCTTCAGGAAAATTACACCGCGAAGTAAATAAAAGGCTCTTAACGATGTCAGATTCCGACCACATCGTAGGTAAGAAATACATGTAAAAATAGTTATGCACTTGGAAGTAATAATTTAGTTAAGGCAATCGTAAATGCCCGCAAGTCTTGTAGGATGTCTCGATGTCAATGCACTCCTTTTTATTAATTTTAAGCTCTTTTTTACAGGGATAATTGACAGCAAGATCTTACTGTTAAAATAAAAAGGCAGCCGGAATAATGGATCAGACTGTACAACAAATTTTTATTAACCTGTGCGATAACGGGTTTTAACATATTTACACGGAATGTCTGCTCAAAAAAATTGAGTATTGAGTTTTTGAAGTATAAAGATTTTTAATGATGAAGGACCTACATCTTTCATTGTTCATGAGTCATTGACATTGTCCAGCAACAAATTCATTCGGAGGTATCCCGTATGTGGCTCTGTTTTTACATTTATAACCATTTATATCTATTTTCTTCTAATAAAAATGAAAGGATAGTGTATATTTCGGCATTTTTAACTTGATTTATCACAAAAATAAACATGTTTTGGCTTGTATATACTAACGACAACCCGACATAAACCACAAAAATTAAAATTGGTCAATGATTCTATTATAAAGTTGCGAAACAGAAAGGGTATACGCCTTGCCACTAAAATAGAAATTAGGTCACAAGTAAAATAATTAAAGGTGAAATTACATAACCAACGCGTGATTACAAGGAAAATATTAGATTTCCGTTTCCTGCCTATTTTGCTTTCAGGCTGAACTCACAATTCCAATTTATAACCGTCGTCTTGGGGAATATCACCCTTCCTCAAATATTAACTCAAGCTGGCGTATTGTTGAAAACTGAACTTATCAGCATATATGTGGGACAATCCGGCCAATTCACCTCGTCAAGAAAGATCTTTAAGTCTTGTGACTTATATCAACCTTACAAAGTTGAAATGGCCTCTGTAAACGACGTGGTTCTCTCGGCCACTTTTTTACTGTTATCCCTAACCGATTTTGTTGGAAACGTATTGGTTTGCTTAATAATTCTTCAGCGAAAGCGGNTTGCTACATCGCGAAACTGTTCCCATCGGGAATTACGTAACTGATTTTAGCTGACGGTCTTTACTTACCTTGAAGATGACCTAGTGTCGAAAACGCTCGGTGTTTTCTACTTTTTAACTTTAATAGCCTTGAAAATAGAAATATTTTTAAAACCAAAGCGAATATTATAGACCTCCAAACTAAAAACAATTCATATACAGCAAGCTTGAATAACACAAAACAAATACTTCCTCAAACTGAGCTACATCAAGCACTGACCTCATAAAAGCTAGCCTGCGAGCAGGCGTTCATGCGTCAGGGCAGGAGCAAAGTCGATGAGCAAAGTCGCGAACTTGAGTCAGCGAGCAAAGCGAGCAGCTGGTGTAGAGCCTCTCGCTTCGTTCGCCGACACCAACGGTGAGAGCCTGCTCGCAGGCTACATAAAAGCTTTAGCCAAAACCGCCGAATACTGCGAACCTTTCACTGAGCTCTTATAAAGCTGAAACGTTACTGCGTACTTGTGGGCGCTTATCTGCACAGACAAACCCTATGTGATTATAACCAATTAGCGGACTCGATTTGGATATTTGGATTAACATATTAAGCCCAGGAAGACCGTATATCCTATGGCAATAAAAGGAAAGTCAAAGGCTCTTCATAAATAGCTGCCAATTACAAAATGTTTTGTAAATATTAAAATTAGCCTTATCATGAGCCCGTCATAAAAAAAAAAAAATTATAATTCAAAATAATTTTAACACTCAAACGAAGTTAGTGAGGCTAATTTAAATGCACACGGCAAAAGAATTTTAAATTGAAAGCCATTTTATATGAAAAGGGTCTGCATAGACCTGTGACCAAGCACTCAGATTTCTTATTTAATAATTTGTCCTTCTTCGCCAGTGGAGCAGAGTAACTCAATATATTACGAAAGTTATTGACTCCGAAATCTTCTGCACGGAACGTGTTGTTTAAAGGTTAACGTCACTGGGTAACTCTATTTGCTACCAAAATCGATCTTTTGTCGATTTAATGATTTCTGTAAGGTAAGATTTTAAACCCGAAGTTAAACGAAAAAGACAATATGTAACCGCAAGGACAAAAAAACTATTTTTACATCACTAAGCTCATAAATCATTCTTTGATTTAGACAGCGAAAATCAATATTAAACGTTCCATTTTTTACTTATTAATAGAAATACGAGAGAAATGTCCTGTAATCATAAATAACATGCTAGATGACGTCAGAACTCTGTTATTCTTGAACGAACATGTCCATAGTTAAGGAGGGAACTAGTAAATTCCAAACGTATGTGCAACCTCGGGCCAAGCATTCGCATTAGCTAGAGCCAAATTGTGATATGGCATTTTTCAGCAAGAAGAATAGTTCATGTCGTGTGATTTTGTTAACATAATCTTAGAAAACCAAAACAACAACAATTTATTAAGGAATTTCCATAACAATACATGAAATTATCTATTTAAACTAAAGAAAATATAATAACATCCAAAATAGAATTCAAACAAATGTTATTCAGTTTGCAATGGAAAATGTCATGTGTAAGGGACATTGCTCGGAAATAAAAGCAGCAGTTGATTGACATAAAGTAGGATCCATGTCGCTAAAGAACAAAACTTCGGGTCGAGCAACATTATGGTAGATTTTTCTCTGTTCTAGTAAAGTTTTGATTTGTTGGAAAACATCATTGCTTCACCAGGGCTGTCACTTAACTATGAGGTAGCGGGAAAGGTGCTCGGTCACAGTCTGAACAAAGATTAACAATAAGTTCCAAAGTCTAAGGCACCGCGATATTTCTTTAATGTATATTCACATTGCAAAGAATTACTAATATGACCTTCGAGGAAGTCCGCTGAATGGAATGTCCTGCAACAGAGGGCTCGCCTTATGTGCTGGCGAAACTTGGTATTGTGCAGAGCATAAATAAATGGGTTCATGGCTGAATTCACGCCTGCAACAGAGGTAACATATCGTAGTGAGCCATATTCATAAAGATCCGGCCAACACGGTGCAATTTTCTTATAATACTAAAAGAAAAATGTCGGATTTCTTCTACCAAAAAAATCGATATAAATAGCTTTTTGTTTAGATTAAGGTCTAAAAGAGAATAAATTAATCTGCAAATTGTCTTTGGACGTTTTTGGTATTTTGTTTTTTTGTTTTTTGTTTTTTTGCCGTACTTATTTTTTTTATTTGTCTTTCCCCACATTTCGGTCCACTATTTACAGGTGTATTGCTGAAGTTTCAAACGAAAATACAGCCACGTGCGATTTCGATAACACTTCTAGATATGAAGAGAAATAATAAGAATTCAAATCAATTTTTGAAGGAAATACAGAGAGTTAAAGTTCTACTAAAACAATCATGTCAGTCGCTCTTGATTTGGCTCTGGGCCTCATCTGCCGTAACCTCGTAGAAATGAAGAGCGAATGCCTGTAGACAATCTCGATGTCATAAGGTTATGCTTAGTGAAGACAGCATTCCACTGAGAACGTTGGCTCAACTAAAGTGAATTATAGATTACTAGCACCACAATTGAGAAATCAATAAATATATTTATTATACATTGTAGTCACCATCTGTCTTCTCATTCGCTAAAAGCCCACAGTTAATCCTGGGAAACAGCGCAACCTACAGCTTGCAAGTGTTGACTTTGTCTTCGCGACATATTCTACATAAGCATGATACCAGGAAATGTCAGGGACGACGATGAGGCTAAAAATTTTTATCAATGCCGATCAAGAGCTAGCAGATAATTGTAGTGATATGTAGGAAATATAAGATGTCGCATTGGCTATGGAAATACCAAGCAACTGGAGCGGGAACTAACTGTCCTTATCTTCAGTCGAAGATATGACAAACAGGACGGACTAAGTTAACTTCTCGGAATCCCTCTGTTTACATTCAACATTAGATATTACCAGTGTGATTACATTTACCTTTATTCGAAGCTCCGTTTCCTGAGAATGGCGCCTCTTCTCCCTTTCTTCAATTTCACCTTAAAAACAACATACGCGAAAAACTCTTACCTAAGCTGACATGACTAAGTGTGATGAAAAATCAAACTGAAACGTTTAATATTTGTAGTATTTTATAGTCTATTATGTTGAAACAATGTTCGTCACGTGTTAAAGCGTGACGCATCCGGTCACGCAATTAATGGCTGCTTTCATTGTTCAGCTCCAGGACAGATTTTCGTTACCACTGGAGTCAAACTTAATAGGGTGGCTCCTAATGCTTTGCAGCATTTTTCCAGCGCATCTTCCCTGATGGATCAATGCTAAATCTCGATTTGGTGAACAATTTGAAGTTTTTTGCGTGACGCAAAGTGTTACCATAGCGGCAAAATAACTCGTTAAAAACAACACACGTAATTAATTGAAGCTTCTGGACTTATTACTCAAATATGAGCGTACGTGATGACATCCTTTTCTTTGTGGCGAAATGCTAAAAATAATAAAAAAAAGAGAATAAAGACAGAAAATAAAGAAAAAATTAGCCCGCTTAGCAAGCGGTCCCGTACAAAGAGCCTACATTCTGGTCGCAAGCAAATTGGAGGTGCGCGCGACCAGAATGCGTAAGGTAACGCTTGCTACGCAGGTAAAGAAAAAAAATTGAAAGAAAGCAGAACAAAACACAACAAAATGAAAACGACCACAGCAACAGCCCCAGGCAAAACAAAACAGCACTTGTGGCTAGGCGGCAGTTTGTCATGCAATAAACGAAAACAACAACCATGGAAATATTCTTCTTAAGTCCTTCCTCTCTCAATTGCCCAATCAGCATTTTTCAAAACTGAAGAAACGTTTAATTAGTCAAACTTCTTCTAAAAGGCTGCTACAGTCTTCGTTAAAAAAAAAAAACTAATTTAATTTCGTTTTCAGTCATGATTATATCGGCATATTCATTTCCGCCACTCGCTTCTTGTTCCCTTCTGTAGCACCTGCCGGCAGGACTGACTTCATCTATGACACAGGCAAAATTTTCTTACTTATTTATACTTTTAAGAGAGCTCTATCAGACTGGGAATTTTGCATTGGTGAACATTAGTTTCAAATTGCAATTGTTCTAATAAGACAATACACTCTTTTATCTTTCTACAAGAATATTGTTTTTCCCGCTCAGGCTGAATATTCTTATATTTTTTATCGATTTTAGGCTGAAAATGTTCTTGTGAATATTCTTAGATTATGACGTATGACATTCCGTTTTATTGACTTTGATGGCGTTGAAGTAATTTTGGAGCAAGACTGTTGGCAACAAAGTCTGACAGGACTCACATAACTTTTTGCACAAATGTTACTAGTATCTCCATACATCTAGTGCTGTTTTTGCTGTTTTTATACGGTTTAGCCAACGACATATAATTGTATTGTATTTACAAATTTTCAACACACAAAATTATATTCTTTTCAAAATGTCAGCCTTGGGTTTATTCTTAATACTTAATATTTCGCAAATTTCAGCCTTGTTATTCCTATAAAATAATATATTCTTATGGGAAGAAAACAGTGAAATAACACAGGCCCCTTTGCCTCTCCATTCTGCCATTTAACAACACAAATTAATTCCTGGTTTATATGTAAACTTTAAGTAATGTGCATCCCATACAGCCGGGGGCTTCAAAACTTGCATTAGTGCAAACAAAGAAAGCACGCTGCTAGAGGTATAGCAGCCGCGCATAATGAGGTGCCATTTGTTTTGTAAACTAATACTCTGAGCAATAATTTCCTTGATGTCCTGACGTATCTGCCATAACTATGCTAACAAGATCCACGGCAACTATAAATGTCACAAATTAGAGACATGGACTTCACGGACATGTATGGGTTAATGAGATATTTGACATCCTGTATTAAAATGGCCATTCACGGGAACGTAATTTACTTATAACAGATAAGCACGATGCAACTAAAGTTTAATCTGTGTGATCTGGAAAAAAAATGTTTATATTTCATTAAAAACCGGTGCGTCCAGTTTACTGTTTGTGAGCGCAAAAACATCTTCAGGAAAATTACACCGCCAAGTAAATAAAAGGCTCTTAACGATGTCAGATTCCGACCACATCGTAGGTAAGAAATACATGTAAAAATAGTTATGTAGATGGAAATAATAAACTAGTAAAGGCAATCTTAGAGGCCCGCAAGTCTTGTAGGCTGTCTGGACGTCAATGCACTCTTTTTTTATCAGTTTTAAGCACTTTTTTACAGGGATAATTGACAGCAAGATCCTTCTGTTTAAATAAAAGGCAGCCGGAATAATGGATTAGACTGTCCACCAATTTTGTCGCAGTTATTTAAACAGTTTTCCTATTAAATTTTTATCGTCCTGTACGATAACGGGCTTTAAAATATTTTCATGCAATGTCTGCTCAAATTGAGTATTAAGTTATTGACGTATAAAGACTTTTAATCACGAAGGACTTTCATCTTTCATTGTTCATGAATTATTGACATTGTCCACCAGCAAATTCATTCGGAGGTATCCCGTATGTGGCTCTGTTTTTACATTTATAATCATTTAATTTATATCTATTTTCTTCTATTACGGTCTTGAAAGGATAGTATATATTTCGGCATTTTTAATTTGACTTATCACATATCAGGATTAAAAATGAACATGTTTTGACTTGTATATACTAACGACAACCGAGTATAAACTACAAAAACGAAAATTGGTCAATGATTCTATGAAAGTTGCAAAATAGAAAGGGCATGCACCTGGAAACTAAAATAGAAATTAGGTCGCAGGTAAAATAAGGTGAAATTACATACAACGCGTGGTTGAAAAGGAAAATAATAATTTCAGTTTCCTGCCTATTTTGCTTTCAGGTTGAACTCACAATTCCAATTTATAACCGTCCTCTTGGGGAATAACACCCTTCCTCAAATATTAACTCAAGCTGGCGTATTGTTGAGAAACTAATCAGCATATTTGTGGGACAAAATAACCTTTCGTGACTTGAGTCCGGTCAATTCACCTCGTCAAAAAACATCTTTAAGTCTTGTGACTTACGTCAACCTTACAAAGTTGAAATGGCCTCTGTAAACGACGTGGTTCTCTCGGCCACTTTTTTACTGTTATCCCTAACCGATTTTGTTGGAAACGTATTGGTTTGCTTAATAATTCTTCAGCGAAAGCGGGTCAAGTTTCGTCCTTCGACTCTCGACTTTCTCTTCCTAAACTTGGCGTTAGCGGACATTATGGTGGCAGTGTTCGCAATTCCGCGGTATGTGTTGAACCACGCTTTCGCACATCCTCTTGGCTCCGTAGGCGACTTCTTGTGCCGTTTTATTACGGGAGGAAATCTTATGTGGACCGGAGGGGCAGCATCTGTCTTCACACTTGTCACAATCGCCTTCGAACGGCGCCATGCTTCTCGGCCTCATCAGGTTCGTCGCAAGTTGTCCAAGTCAAAACTGCGAGTATTAGTGTTATCTTCGTGGGTTTTTGCTTGCTTGCTCAATCTTCCTCTGTTTTTTATCATGTCTTATGACGACCGAAGCAACTTTTGTGTAGAAAACTGGCCACATCCTCTACTTCCTAAAATCTACGGAATAATTTGGTTTTCTGTAGTCGGAGCAATACCTATTTCCATCATGGCAGTATTATACTCTAAGGTGGTTTATCATCTGTGGGTAAAGAGTTCAATAGCAAGGCTTCATCGTAGGGCCATTTTAATTCTAAGAAAAGCCACTAAAATGGCTATTACGTTAACAGTTATTTATTCAATTTGTTGGTTGCCAAATCTGATTCTCTACATCCTGGCATTTAACATTTTCTATGCCGTGTACGGCTCACCGCTGTATAGATGGACTGTAGTGTTGACTTGTTTGAACTCTACAGTCAATCCCTTTGTGTACACTTTTCAAAGTCGACGCTTCAGGGCCTCTGTCAAGCGAGCTCTGTCGTGCAAGTAAAGTAAGAGTTTGGTTTTGTCTTCATGGAGACACTGGCAACAACTTGGCACAGTTACGTTGACGTTTAAGCTGAGTTGAATGATACTTTCAGCCGCATATACACTAAAAAAGACAAAACAAAAAAGATGGCAGGATACGGTAGCGGGGGAAACTTAATTCCCATTCTGAAACCACTCTTAAATGGGAAATACCAGTCACAAGTGATCCAAATTTCGAAATAAAAGTGTAATAACATGATTCAGCGTTCACAAAGATCACGGAAACGCTTCACATGAGTGCGGTTCCTGCCAAAAGTGAAATGTTTTGGAACGGCGTTTAAAGACTGTGGGACGTACAGCGACGATTCGAGTTGTTCATCCGGGAACTGCCCCAGGCAAAGTCTTTGCCTGAGGAGGAACTTCTTCCTATTATTTACACTCGTTATAGATTAATCACGGGATCGCGATTGAAAAGTCACCGGCTGTGTGTTAAACAGGAACGCGAGAGAATAAACATTCAGAACCGACCAACAGACGCCCTTCGAAAGCCGACATCTGTAAGCGGTGGAAACGGTTACAGCGGAGTAACTTATATACGTTAATACAACTTTTATTAGAACACAAGCAAACCGCAAGCAAACCGCAGTAAATAAATGCTAAGCGCAAGCAAACAGTAGTAAATGAATGCTAACCGCAAGCAAACGGCAGTAACTAAATACTAACCTCAAGTAAACAGCAGTAAATAAATGCTAATCGCAAGCAAACAGTATATAAATGCTAACCGCAAGCAAACGGCAGTAAATAAAAGTAAACTATATATGTGTCCTACCACGAATTATTTCCCAAAATAGTTCAAAAACAAAAACATAAACAATCGTTCTGTTAATGATAGTAAACTAAAAAACTTCATCTGGCCAGTACTCTGGGCAATTAACTCGTCATCTCCATCATATTGAGCCACAAAGAAGAGGGGCAAAATGAAAATGACGCCGTCAAGCCAGCTCGGCAGCCTGTCATCTCAACAGTAGTTAATAGAGTCTTTGTTGGTGAGCTTCCAGCTATCACAGAGCAGATGAACGACTTCAAAGTGACGTTGAACAGCTATTACTACCAATGAGAACGTTAAAACAGCGCCAACACCGAGATAAAGTTTCCATGGACGTAATGGACATCTTCAATGCTATTTTGATGGAAATATATTTCAATGACTATTTATTAACTCTGGTGGTTTTGTTGACTCCTTTCTGACAGTCTACTTTCAATTCTGGTTTCTACGAAGGCCCCATTTCGATATGATGTGACGTCTACATCATCTTCTACACGTGGTTGTGTATCGGGCACAGTTGGTGCAACAATGTTCATTTTACACCGTGGCTTACAGGACCAGATTATGTTCTTTAAGCTCTTACTAAATGGAGTGCCGTGTAAGCTGTACGCCATAGGATTGATGCACGAGTTAAAAGCGATAAGCAGAATTTCCAGTTGATCCACTGGAGAATCCCGGGTCACTTGTGAACTGAATCAAATCAGAAGAAATATGACGGTGATTGGAATCCATGTTATGTTGCAGGTCATGCTAATGGTTAGCGTCATACAGGTTACTCGTCGCCTGGCCAAGAAAAAAAAGATACCAAAGACATCAGATAAATTTAAATCATGTACAAGCAGACAACCAAACAAAAACAGTCAGAACAGGAAAAACAAACAAACAAAGAACGGAAACAAAACAAGCGAAAAACAACAGACCAATAGGGATTATAGCCTGATTATAGCCTGAGATAGAGAGCGTATGTATATATAGTTTAGTCAGATGGTTCGGTATAACTATGCATGGAAGGTCTACACCTACTGAATGCAACTGCATACAGAAATTTCACCTTACCAAAAAACTAATCTCTCTCGAGTCAGAGATAATTTCGAACGAGCGAAATGCCATTGAGGCCAACCAGAATGTTGTTCAGGTTTATCGGAACACCACGCATGCAACCCATTTTTTTATTAAGGCTATCTGAAGGGTAATTTTCACCTTAAGCCCTGGCCAAACGATCTCGCAGGTATACCAAAGTGGAAAACTTGGGTCTACTAGCTAGCGACTCCGTTTGGCAAGGCCTTGCGTGCACCTGCGATGACTTGCGCTCACTTTGGTCGATATCAAATTTGCACGTGAGTCGACGCAAGTTGTTCACCATTTGGCCACCAACGCAAGTCAACCAAGTTGAGTGAAGTCCATTGGTTGTTATAGTAACCTGTTAGCCAACGAAATACAGGATATTGGCCTCATAGGACTAAGCCCATAGCCTTGAAATTTTTTTTTTTTTGCGACTTGCTTTCGCTTTCGAGGAAACTTGCGAGTCAGTTTTGCCCCTGAACGCAAGTCCCTATGCGAATACAACTTGAGGCTACTCGCGACTACTTGCGAATCCGAAGGACCATTTTACCGTAGGCTAACCGTAGTGCTATCTATCTATGCTTTCTTTTGTTAGAAGAATTTTCCTCCTGGTGTTGTCCTCAGATTTTAGACTTTTGGATAAGAATATCGTTTCTAAAATGCAGTTATAAAGGTCAAACTTCGTGTCCATGTGTGGCCTGATTCTGTGGTGCGAAATCCCATTAAAATTGGGTGGGGGTGTGTGGCCCAATTCCAAAAACCCTTACCTTATTTAAGAAGAAAATCTCCTTTGTAGTCTGCGTGAGATCTGAGTGTTTTTGATTTGTCTCGTTTGCCACAGGATAATAAAAATGTACTTTGAATTCGTGAAATTGCTTAATTTACAAATGAAAGTTTTACTAAGTTTTTCGTTCTTATTACAGTAAGGGAGCTAAATGAAAACTTTCCTGCCTTCTTCAAAGGGGAAACTGGGAATTAAAACATCGTTTACGGGCGAATCATTCAGGAAACTGTTCACTGTTTGGGAAATAAAACGCTTAGGGTATCCAGCATTTAGAAAAGTTTTTTTCAATTTTTTGATTTCGTTGTTAAAATCAGAAGAGATACGTTTGGCTCCGTGGAGGGCGGCAGTGATGCAATTTCTTTTCCAGTGGGAATTTCCGATTTCCAATGTGTAGGTAGTTTTCCCGGTTTCTTGTAGACTTTGCAGTCGAATTGGTTGTCATAAGTGAAAGCAGTGTCAAGGAAATGGTCGGGATTTTCTCTCTCTATGAAAACAATGTAAGGATGGTAATTGTTAAGACGTTTAAGCACATCATCGGGCTTATCTTTTCTTGTGGTGAGACAGCTACATTGGTAAAATCATGAGAAATGTGCAGGTGCGATTTGATGAACACACTAACAGTTGTGGCGACTCTGAGCCTGCCCGCCATCTACGTGTGAATCCTTCGCATTCTCTTAGCTGGCGCATACTTTGCAAGGCTCAATCAACTACAAAGCGTTGAATCCTCGAAGGCCTATTTTACATTAACTGTCTAATTTCTCGTCCGCTGAGTGGCTCATTTTTATCATCAATAAGAGTATAGACGGACAAAATTTTAATTTATGCAAGCTTTCAAGTTCAACTTTTAGCTGTCAAACTGTCAACTTTTTAACCAATGAGATTTTATGGACTTTTTTAAGTAGCCAATCAAAAAGCGAGAAAAGCTATTGACACTGTTTGCGTCATTTTGAATAAAATTCACTTATCTTTGTTTACAGCAAGTTTATAGCGTCTTTTCCCCTCATTTATTCCCGGCATTTGACCATTTTGCGGTCCTGTCAGTTTACTGCGGAACCACTCGCCTGCGGCATGTGGTTCCACAGCCACTTTGACAACGTTATTACGCAATTGATCATCGATAAGAGGACAGACGCAAAAAAAAACTGGCGTCAATTCGTTAAATGATCCAACAGTGGAAACCATCTTTAGACAGACAGGTTCATTACTACATTGCGAAACTGTTCCCATCGAGAATTACGTAATTAACTGATATATTAAATACACAATTAGCGGACGGTCTTTACCAGTACCCTAAAGATAACCTAATGTCGAAAACATTTGGTGTTTTTTACTTTTTTACTTTTTTAGCCTTGAAAACAGAAATATTTTTAAAACCATAGCGAATGTTATGGACAGTTTCGATATTGTTTTTCACTGATGAACCTCCACGCTAAAAACAATTCATATACAGACAGTGCGAATTACACGAAACCAATACGTCCTCAAAGCTACATGAAGCACTGACCTCATAAAAGCTTGCCCGCAGCAGGCGTTCATGCGTTACGGCAGGAGCAAAGTCGATGAGCAAAGTCGCGATCTTGAGTCAGCAAGCGAAGCGAGCTGCATCTGGTAAAGGGCCTCTCGCTTCGTTTTGTCATACACCAACAACGATGAGAGCCTGCTCGTAGCCTACATAAAAGCTTTAGCCAAAACCACCGAATACTGCGAACCTTTCAGCTCTTGTGAAGCTGAAACGTTGCTGTGTACTTGTGGGCACTTATCCGCACAGACAAACCCCATGTAATAAAAACTAATTATTTGGCACAGCGGACATATTAAGCTCCGGAAGACCATATATCCTATGGCAATAAAAGGAAAGTCAAAGACTTTTCATAAATAGCTGCCAGTTATAAAATGTTTTGTAAATATTAAAATTAGACTTATTAACCCCGTAATAACACATTTTGTAATTCTAAATAATTTTTACACTCAAACGAAGTTAGTGAGGCTAATTTAAATGCACGCGGCAGAAGAATTTTAAATTGAAAGCCATTTTACATGAAAAGGGTCTGCATAGACCTGTGACCAAGCACTCAAATTTCTTTAATAATTTGTCCTTCTTCGCCAGTGGAGCAGAGTAACTCAATATATTATGAAATTCATTGACTCCGAAATCTTCTGCTCGGAACGTGTTGCTTGAAGGTTAACGTCACTGGGCAACTCTATTTGCTACCAAAATCTTTTGTCGATTTAATGATTTCTCTACGATAAGATTTTTAACCCGAAGTTAAACGAAAAAGACAATATGTAACCGCAAAGACAAATAACTATTTTTACATCATTAAGCTCATAAATCATTCTTTGATTTAGAGAGAGAAAATCAATATTAAACGTTCTATTTTTAGGGTTAGAAATGTCCTGTAAATCATAAACAACTTGCTAGAAGACGTCAGAACTCTGTTATTCTTCAACAAACATGTATATAGTTTACGAGGGAACTATTAAATTCCAAACGTATGTTCAACCTCGGGCCAAGCATTCGCATTAGCTAGAGCCAAATTATGATACAGTATTTTTCAGCAAGAAGAATAGTTCATGTCGTGTGATTTTGTTAACATAATGTTACAAAACCACAACAACAACAATTTGTTAAGGAATTTCCATGACGATATATGGAATAATCTATTTAAACTAAAGAAAATATAATAACATCCAAAATAAAATTCAAACAAATGTTATTCAGTTTACAATGGAAAATGTCATGTGTAAGGGACATTGCTTGGAAATAAAAGCAGCAGTTGATTGACATAAAGTAGGATCAATGCCGCTAAAAAACAAAACTTCGGGTCGAGCAACATTATGGTAGATTTTTGTCTGTTCTAGTAAGGTTTTGATTTGTTGGAAAACATCATTGCTTCACCAGGGTTGTCACTTAACTATGAGGTGGCGGGAAAGGTGGTCGGTCACAGTCTGAACGAAGATTAACAATAAGTTCCAAAGTCTAAGACACCGCTATATTTCTTTAATGTATATTCACATTGCAAAGAATTACTAATATGACCTTCGAGGAAGTCCGCTGAACGGAATGTCCTGCAACAGAGGGCTCGCCTTATGTGCTGGCGAAACTTGGTATTGTGCAGAGCATAAATAAATGGGTTCATGGCTGAATTCACGCCTGCAACAGAGGTAACATATGGTAGTGAGCCATATTCATAAAGATCCGGTCAACACGGTGCAATTTTCTTATAACACTAAAAGAAAAATGTTGGATTTCTTCTACCAAAGAAATCGATATAAATAGCTTTTTGTTTAGATTAAGGTCTAAAAGAGAATAAATTAATCTGCATATTGTCTTTGGACGTTTTTGGTATTTTGTTTTTTTGTTTTTTGTTTTTTTGCCGTACTTATTTTTTTATTTGTCTTTCCCCACATTTCGGTCCACTATTTACAGGTGTATTGCTGAAGTTTCAAACGAAAATACAGCCACGTGCGATTTCGATAACACTTCTAGATATGAAGAGAAATAATAGGAATTCAAATCAATTTTTGAAGGAAATACAGAGAGTTAAAGTTCTACTGAAACAATCATGTCAGTCGCTCTTGATTTGGCTCTGGGCCTCATCTGTCGTAACCTCGTAGAAATGAAGAGCGAATGCCTGTAGACAATCTCGATGTCATAAGGTTATGCTTAGTGAAGACAGCATTCCACTGAGAACGTTGGCTCAACTAAAGTGAATTATAGATTACTAGCACCACAATTGAGAAATCAATAAATATATTTATTATACATTGTAGTCACCATCTGTCTTCTCATTCGCTAAAAGCCCACAGTTAATCCTGGGAAACAGCGCAACCTACAGCTTGCAAGTGTTGACTTTNATACAGAGAGTTAAAGTTCTACTAAAACAATCATGTCAGTCGCTCTTGATTTGGCTCTGGGCCTCATCTGCCGTAACCTCGTAGAAATGAAGAGCGAATGCCTGTAGACAATCTCGATGTCATAAGGTTATGCTTAGTGAAGACAGCATTCCACTGAGAACGTTGGCTCAACTAAAGTGAATTATAGATTACTAGCACCACAATTGAGAAATCAATAAATATATTTATTATACATTGTAGTCACCATCTGTCTTCTCATTCGCTAAAAGCCCACAGTTAATCCTGGGAAACAGCGCAACCTACAGCTTGCAAGTGTTGACTTTGTCTTCGCGACATATTCTACATAAGCATGATACCAGGAAATGTCAGGGACGACGATGAGGCTAAAAATTTTTATCAATGCCGATCAAGAGCTAGCAGATAATTGTAGTGATATGTAGGAAATATAAGATGTCGCATTGGCTATGGAAATACCAAGCAACTGGAGCGGGAACTAACTGTCCTTATCTTCAGTCGAAGATATGACAAACAGGACGGACTAAGTTAACTTCTCGGAATCCCTCTGTTTACATTCAACATTAGATATTACCAGTGTGATTACATTTACCTTTATTCGAAGCTCCGTTTCCTGAGAATGGCGCCTCTTCTCCCTTTCTTCAATTTCACCTTAAAAACAACATACGCGAAAAACTCTTACCTAAGCTGACATGACTAAGTGTGATGAAAAATCAAACTGAAACGTTTAATATTTGTAGTATTTTATAGTCTATTATGTTGAAACAATGTTCGTCACGTGTTAAAGCGTGACGCATCCGGTCACGCAATTAATGGCTGCTTTCATTGTTCAGCTCCAGGACAGATTTTCGTTACCACTGGAGTCAAACTTAATAGGGTGGCTCCTAATGCTTTGCAGCATTTTTCCAGCGCATCTTCCCTGATGGATCAATGCTAAATCTCGATTTGGTGAACAATTTGAAGTTTTTTGCGTGACGCAAAGTGTTACCATAGCGGCAAAATAACTCGTTAAAAACAACACACGTAATTAATTGAAGCTTCTGGACTTATTACTCAAATATGAGCGTACGTGATGACATCCTTTTCTTTGTGGCGAAATGCTAAAAATAATAAAAAAAAGAGAATAAAGACAGAAAATAAAGAAAAAATTAGCCCGCTTAGCAAGCGGTCCCGTACAAAGAGCCTACATTCTGGTCGCAAGCAAATTGGAGGTGCGCGCGACCAGAATGCGTAAGGTAACGCTTGCTACGCAGGTAAAGAAAAAAAATTGAAACAAAGCAGAACAAAACAAAACAAAATGAAAACGACCACAGCAACAGCCCCAGGCAAAACAAAACAGCACTTGTGGCTAGGCGGCAGTTTGTCATGCAATAAACGAAAACAACAACCATGGAAATATTCTTCTTAAGTCCTTCCTCTCTCAATTGCCCAATCAGCATTTTTCAAAACTGAAGAAACGTTTAATTAGTCAAACTTCTTCTAAAAGGCTGCTACAGTCTTCGTTAAAAAAAAAAAACTAATTTAATTTCGTTTTCAGTCATGATTATATCGGCATATTCATTTCCGCCACTCGCTTCTTGTTCCCTTCTGTAGCACCTGCCGGCAGGACTGACTTCATCTATGACACAGGCAAAATTTTCTTACTTATTTATACTTTTAAGAGAGCTCTATCAGACTGGGAATTTTGCATTGGTGAACATTAGTTTCAAATTGCAATTGTTCTAATAAGACAATACACTCTTTTATCTTTCTACAAGAATATTGTTTTTCCCGCTCAGGCTGAATATTCTTATATTTTTTATCGATTTTAGGCTGAAAATGTTCTTGTGAATATTCTTAGATTATGACGTATGACATTCCGTTTTATTGACTTTGATGGCGTTGAAGTAATTTTGGAGCAA